CCTGCAAACGAAATACACGAGAAGATTGCCGAGCCAGGAGCCCGGCTACCGTTCTATTTATCTTCGTGCTGCGACAAGGCAGCGTTAGATGGTTGCGCAAACACCGCGACTTCCTCTCTCGCCGTGTTTCCCTTTGCGTACCCGCGGTCCCACGGCTCGAAACTTTGTTCTTAATGTTTCGCTTAATAAGCCATTCTGACCCGCGACCAATTATCGGACAAGGGGAATAGGAACGGGCCGGGCTCGTTCTTCAATTTGATCGCGAGCCTGCTTTCACGGCGATTTTCAAGTTGCTACAGATATTTTCTCCGAGCAACAGTCTCGTCGGTGAGTCGATTTTGCAAATTTTTCTTCGGCCCAACAAATTCCGCGCGACAATTTGCACGGTTCCACGACCTGCGCCAAGATAAACAGCGAAATCGGTGGTCCGTAGGTTAATGCTGCAACGGCGTCGTTTATATTTGATGCAGTCGAAATGGATGATGCATGAAACAGCGTCGAATTTATCATCGTAAATTCCAATGCAAGGGTATCAATAATTGCGAGGGCGGATTTCGCGCATTCGCGCTCGCATTAGCTTCTATAATTTCAGCTACTGCCAATCCTAATAACAGTCAATTTTCAAATCGAATCTACGTCGGAGGTTCCAGCCGCGACTGCCATCGAATTCGGAAAGAGAATCGCTCGCGATAAATCGTCGCGAAGTTGGTCGCGGTATCTTTAGAATTTGTCTAGGAGCTCTAGACTATTTTCTAGAACCACCGCGCATTGTTCGAGCACCTCTGGGACGTTTCTAGGACCCGTAGAACTTCTCTAGAATAATATCTAGAGCCGTAATTATCGAGAGACCTTGTTACCCGATTTATCTATGACGGCTTGTTCCCGTTTATACTTTAACGCCGACGGTAATTGCGCGTTGTCGTTTGTCACGGCGTTATATCCCCGGGGGCTTGCGACAAAAATTTCGCTCCGCGGTGAAAAGCGTGGGCGGTCCGACGAGTCGCGGGCATCGTTCCCGCGTAATTAATTCACCGGAGGATGACGAGGTCGTTTCATTCGACCGTGGTAATTTCAAAGCGCGCTAATTTCCACCTCGACTGGACGGTGTGTTTGGAACAGCTATGAATTCGCCGTCGGCTGAATCGGTTTCTTGACCAAATTGCTACGGAACATCGCGTAACCTGCAACAAAACGTTGTGCTTTTAATTGCCTTCAACGAGAACCGTTTACTCGCTCGTTGCTCGTCGCTCGTCGCTTGTCCTCGCTCTCTGAAAGTTCCTGCTCCCGTTTCTTGCCATTTTGTACGCAGATCTCCTCTGAACATGTTCAAAGGATTTCTGAACCTAATTATCGGCTTGTTAACTTATTTTTAATCGACTACGTACGCATTTTCGCTGAACTTCGGAACCCGATAAGCGTTGGTTAGGCTACGACGATCAAGATCCAAGCTCTTGTCGAAGACTGCTTTCGACGCCAAGTTCGAGGATCGAGGCGAGCATCTTCGATCGCTACGGTGTCATACAGACCCTCTCGATCCTCGATTCTCGATTTCCGAAGGAACCGGTTGGATTCGCGGCTGGACAACTCCGATGGCCCTGGCTTAACCTCGGCCAACTTTGCCAGGGACAAGTTCGACGACAATGCAGTTCCCGATACGTCGAAGGATTTTCCGGACTTCTCTCTCTCTCCCTCTCTCTCTTTGCGGTCTCGCACGTTCGCCTTCCTCTCTGTTCGGTCGCGATTACCCGATGACGATCGTCTAGGACTTACACAGTTCGATTTTCCTGACGAGGCTGTGCTCTCTCTCTCTCTCTCTCTCTCTCGCTCTCT